TGCTTAAGGGTCGAAACGCTGTCCAAAGGAGGTTGCAATTAATTGTTTGAGAATGACTTTCATTTTATTTTATCACTTCAGTCGGACTTAACTTGTGTGAATCATGCCCTTTCTGATTACGAGGCGCTTATGGGCACTTATATCCTCCCTGTTCTCTCGCCACCGCCTTCTAACCAGCCTGTTCTTGTGGCTGGACAACGTTTATCCACTGCTTCCGACTCTTCACATCACGTCCTCTCACAATCATCCGCACCGTCTGATTCGCCTAAAGGCAGTCCCGATCTGATGGGCTGGACATCCCGATCTGAATTACTTTCTCCAGATGCGTCGATGACTTATTTACATAAAAATAGTGAGTATTTCACATAAAATTAAGGAAAAAAGAGGATGAACTAGGGCATGCTATAATCCTGATATTATTTCTTAGCAAAAAAGTCAATCATGATTTATTTACGCATGACCACTGGAATAAATGCAGTATCTTGTTCTTTTTTAGACAGACATATACATACATATACGAGTAATATTCTATAATAGGATGATAAGCTGGGTTTTGAAGAATCTCTTAGTAGATTGATACTGGCATGCCTTTGATTTAGCTTGAGAAGGCTGTTGGAAGGGATTTATAGATTGGCCTCATCGAAGAAAACCTCGGCTCATCTTCCTACGACCCCAATGACTGGGGCTTGTTATAGCCTCGTGGATGCGTGCTCATGTGTATATGCAACATTCACGAGTTCTTTGGCAATTTTAGGTCCAAAAGTTTCTTTACATAGACAAAAGTTGTAACTACATCCGCTTTCCTTCCTGCATTACTTTCATTCGCTTACATGCATGTAGGACAAGCATAAAACAGCCGATTAAATCACGGAACGCCTCATTGAGATCACAAAGTGAGGTATAAGCTGTAAATGGGATCTCAGCTGGCCACCTTTCTTGGTTTAATGCTTTTGGTGATTTTGAATGATGGTTTCTAGCTCTGACGATGTCCGTCACATGACAGACGAAAGCTCAGTACGGAGTCATTGGGATCGTAGAACGTTGAGCCGAAGTCTACTTTACACAATCCAACAGGCAAAAGTCAAAGGCAACTCTCCTTCGGTATTCTGTGAGGTCAATCTACGAATTCCTTCCACCCGCCTTCTCATACTAACTGAAAGATATGCCAGTATTAATATTCTCGAATATCATAGATCCCTGCATAATATAACTAAGGTGCAACTAGCTTCTTATATTTTAGGTCTCCATACTCCAGTGAGGCTATCTAAACTGTTTTATTTTTCGGCTTTTTTTCATTCCTTGATTATACACATGAAGTGAAACTGGTTTTCTATGAATCTCTTTTGGATTCAATCTCACCAGAAGACAATAGTAGATTCCTCTTGGTATGGTCATTTGTTCAAGTTAATGGAATTATCGAGACACTTCGTTCGCAATTAAAATGAAAGACATCAAGTCAATCTCGAGCTTACAGGAAATAAGGGAAACTAACTATCTAGTCTTGTTTTAAGCTCGAGAATGACTTAAGAATTCCTCATTATTCTGAGTATATCTGTAATATGGCAGTTGGAAACCTAGCACGTTTTAACCTTAGCTACAATGGATTGTCTCGGGGACTGCGTAAACATAAACAGCAGGGCAAGACCGGACGACACTAGATCGGAATTAATCCACCACAGTCTTCTTCGAAACCCAGTTTTTCTTCATTTTGGTGGGATTGACCTACTCATCTTTTTATTGCACATTTTCACTTTGAATGAAAGTCGTTGGTATTGAAATCTATTACTTTTGCTGTTTTTTTCATCTGACTAGGATTATATTACTATACAATATTGAACTCGACCATATTACCATCTGCTCGACAAGAGCGAGTTCTATGTTTCATTATCGTTAGTTTTGAAACTTGACTTATTCTACATAGTAGTGCTGCCGATTATGATGGTAAATTAAAACTTCCCTTATCGATAATTCTATAAATGTATTTGGCTTGAGTATACTTCGAAAGTGCCTATACATTACTATAAGTGTGAATTGGGATAGATATACTCTGTCTTTAAAGTCAAAATTGTCCTGTTTAAGGGGATGAAGAAACGATAGTTACATCTTCCCACGATACGAATAGACACGACTTTCCCATTGAATTTCACATAGCCTTGTTTTCCCAAAAGTTATTCTCATTCAGGGCTGAATATAGTTTCGAATTCTCTTGATTGTGTGGCCGAGTTTCTGCTTGGCGCACCGACCATATTTCTAATCCCTTTAACTATTTTTATGCGGCCTATGCTAGATCTTATTTGCATTCCACTTGTAATGGGAAAACTTTTTCGGAGGCAAGGATAGATGAAATGTTTTGGCTTTATTAGACTTACTTTATTATCACTTCAATTACCAGTCTACATCATCTTTGGTGACTTTAAGTAACTTATGCGTTGATTGTAGGAGAGGTGGCATTTTTAATGGAAATCAACTAATTGACAGAGGAAATGAGAAGCATTCTAGGAGAAA